CTGCAAACACTTCAATAATCACAAATCAGATGTATACAAAAATAAATCTCTGTTTTACAACTGTGCATATTTTCCTGATCCCTGATGATCCATTTTCACTCATCATTAGAAAACTTAATATAGTCTCTTTTAATGGATTGAAGGGTATGAGGACTTGAATTTTTAATTGTACAGCCAAATAACATTTTCCCAAAATTTTCGTAGCCCTTGTCAAATTGGCAATTCATACTCGCACTACAGTGCATGAGGCTGTCTACTTCCCCACATTTTTGCCAAACTAGATGCTTTAAATCTCTTTAATTTTGACAATCCAAGTGCCAGTTGAGTTCAGGTCTATTCTGGTGATTACCAGTGACTTTGAGCATCTTTTCTTTGTATCTGTCTGTATATACCTCTGTATCTGTCTGTATATACCATTCCCACATTTCTCTACTGTGCTGTTTGTCTTTTTCTTGTTGATTTGTAGAAGCTCCTTATGAGTTCTGGATAGTAATCACTTTTCAGTTATATGTTGTGATAGGATGTTTTCAAAAAGAACACACTGAATCTAAAACAAACAAATAGAAAAACTTTATCTAGGGCTGAGCGTGGTGGCTCACGCCCGTAATACCAGCACTTTGGGAGGCTGAGGCAGGCAGATCAGAAGGTCAGGAGTTCAGGACCAGCCTGGCCAATATGGTGAAAACCCCATCTCTACTAAAAATAAAAAAATTAGCCTGGCATGGTGGCATATGCCTGTAGTCCCAGCTACTCAGGAGGCTGAGGCAGAAGAATTGCTTGAACCCAGAGGGTGGAGGGTACAGTCAGCTTAGATTGTGTCACTGCACTCCAGCCTGGGAGATAGAGTAAGACTCCCTCTCAAAAAAAAAGACTTTGTCCACGGTAGGTTGAGAACGTGGGCAGGGATTTATAAGGGGTTTCTTAACAGAGACTCTGCCTGGTGTGACTTATCCTGCCTGAGCCCTGGCCCTGCAGAACCAGCAAAGTTCCTCCCTTCTCTTCACATCTCGTGAGCACCATCCTCCAGGCGGTTGCAAGTAGGAAAAAGCAGACTATCTGCCTCTTGTTCAAGATGTCTGGAAGGTGACAAATTAGTTAGACTGTAAAGGGCTACATTTGGGAAATAAATATTTTTCCATTCACAGTGGGTCTAAGAATGTGAGTGTCTTTCTCAACTGTGCTAAAAACGACCTGGGAGAATTCAGGCACTCTAACAGCAAGAGTGTGAGGTGTGGTCCACCAGTGAACTGCGGGCATCGACCAGGAAGGTGTGAATGCTGTGGCTGGGTTGAGAGAGGCCACTGGGGTATCCAAAAACCCTGCCAAATGTCTTACGTGAGAGAGTTCCGTTTCAGTATCAGCCAGCCCCAGAACACAGGAAGTCAGCGGTGACAGAACCCATCCCCAGCAAAATGGAAACTTTCCAGCTCCATCTCTTTACCTCTCCCTCCTCCTATCCACTCTTTTCTGCTAGGCAGAGTCTAAAACCACAGCTAGCTAGGGGGTATCAGGGAGGAAGAAATAAAAGAACAAACAGAAGCCAACTACATCCCCGTCTCTAATGGCAGCAACACAGAGCTGATGATGAGGGGGAGAAATCTTGTCTCAGAAGGAAGTTTGAAGTGTTGATTAATATCCTGAACTAAAATAAGGGTTTTGTTTGTTTGTTTGTTTGTTTTTTGAGGCAGAGTTTCGCTCTTGTTACCCAGGCTGGAGTGCAATGGTGCGATCTCGGCTCACCGCAACCTCCGCCTCCTGGGTTCAGGCAATTCTCCTGCCTCAGCCTCCCGAGTAGCTGGGATTACAGGCACGCGCCACCATGCCCAGCTAATTTTTTGTATTTTTAGTAGAGACGGGGTTTCACCATGTTGACCAGGATGGTCCCGATCTCTTGACCTCGTGATCCACACGCCTCGGCCTCCCAAAGTGCTGGGATTACAGGCGTGAGCCACCGTGCCCGGCCAAGGGTGTCTTTTTGACTTCACATGAACATAGGACAGAAAAGTTGTGGGGACCACTGAAGCTTCTACTCAGTAATTTTGAGAGGCTGGGCGCGATGGCTCTCACCTGTAATCCTAGCATTTTGGGAGGCCAAGGCGGGTGGATCACATGAGGTTAGCAATTTGAGAGCAGCCTGGGTAACATGGTGAAACCTTTTTTCTACTAAAAATATAAAAATTAGCGAGGAGTGGTGGTGGGCTCCACCCAGGAGGCTGAGGTTGCAGTGAGCTAAGATTGCGCCACTGCACTCCGGCATGGGCAATAAGTAAGACTCCGTCTCAAAAAAAAGAATAAAAAATTTCAAGGATGTCTCTTGAGAATGAAAAGGAAAGCTTCTTTTTGTTACTTTCGTGCATCACACACTGATTAAAACACATTGCAAAATTTTTTTTCCCAGTGTGCCATTTGGCTTTCTTCATGTGAAAATATGTTTACAGGCTTTCTCAATTTTTTAGTTGTTGAATTCGTCTATCATTTGAAATGCCTTCTTACCCTAGATTGTCATATATTCTACTTTTTAAAAAGCTTACACCCCATATCATAGTTTCCTACCATTGTTTTTAACTACATCTGGAACTCATTTTGTGAGTGTTGCAGCGTGAACCCTCTTAGTAGGGGAGAGCTGCCTCACCCAAGTTCATGCTCCCTTCTTGGGGCCAGCCCACATCCAATGACTGATCCGTGTGGGACTATAAATGCGGGGCCTCTGACCCCAGCGCTGGACAGCTCTAAAGGGACACCCCAGCTTCACGGGTCCCCTTAGGGTTGGCCCAGGCCTCAACTGAGCCTGAATTGCAGCTCATTTCTTAGGGCCCACTGCTGCTTCCTTCAAGTTTCCCCAGGTGTCAATCTAAAGAGCAGCTCCCCAAAAAACCTTTTGACAACACATCTCCGTCTCATAAACTCCTTCCCCAAGAACCTGATCTGCCACAAATTTGAAATCGTTAGCTAAATTTATTTTTCTTCTAAATGCAGAATTCATAACCTCAGTATACTTTACAATTCAACCTTTTGTTTCCGTTTCTGTTTTTTTTTTTATTTGTTTGTTTGTTTTGTTTTGTTTTTTGATTGAAACGGAGTCTTTATCACCCAAGCTGGAGTGCAATGGCGAAATCTCAGCTCACTGCCAACTTCTGCTGCTCGGATTCAAGTGATTCTCTGATTCTCGTGCCCCAGCCGCCAGAGTATCTGAGATTACAGGCACAAGACACCACACCTGGCTAATTTTTTTGTATTTTTAGTAGAGACGGGCGTTTTACCATGTTGACCAGGCTGGTCTCAAACTCCTGACCTCAGGTGATCTGCCCACCTCGGCCTTCCAAAAGTGCTGACATTACAGGCATGAGCCACCACAGCTGGCCAGTTTCTGATTTAAAATGTCATCTTTATTACTTATTGAATTTCCTATTGAAAATAGGTCTGCTTTGGTCTATTTAGTTTATATGACTCTTCCATATTCTCTAAAATTATTGCCACCTTGTTTTAATGACTGAAGCTTTAGAATAACTTATGATATCCGACCAGGAAAGTAATGCCTTCTTATGTTTTTCTATAAAAAGTACCTTCGCTATTTTAATCTTTATTTTTTTCTCTTCCAGATGAGATTCAAATATAGTTTCTCTAAATTATGTAACAATTTCCAATGTGAATTTTATTTGTAATTGCATCAAATTTATAGCATAATGTATGGAGAACTCAAATATTTATAATATGGAATTTTATCTAAGATTTTTGCAATGCTATTCTATATACTCATTATCTTTTTTTCCCTTTTGTAGGGTTTCATAGTTTTCTTCTTGTTATACCTTATACTTATCTCTTGATAGGTTTATTTCTAGATATTTTGTAACATTTATTACTCCTATTGAATACTAATTGAGATTTGTGGGCTAATCTTAGATCTGACTATCTCGATAAATTATCTTACTAGTTCTAACGATATTTTGGTTGATATAGTTAGATTTTCTGGGCAGATGATATCATCAGTAAATAATGTTGTGTTTTTTCATTTCATTTCTATTCAGTGTACCTAATTTCTTTCTTGTTACATTATTTTGACTGTGGTCACCAGCACAGTGACCATGGTAGCAACTATCCTTGCCTCGTTTAACACTTTAATGGGAATTCCTCTCATCTGTCACCAATAAGTATGATTTTCTTTTTCCTGGAAGCTCCTGCTGGATATCAAATATTTACTTAAGGGCGAGTCATTCACAAGCAGGCAGAAAAATAATAATAAAGTGAGGTGAACCCAGAAGTCAGAAGAAGAAAGATATGGGTCCCATCACCCTCCATAAGTAGCTTCTAACAAAAATAACCATTCCAGGAAACAGATAACAACTTTAACTAATAATCTAAACTGGGTAAGTCAATAAATAAAAAGATGTAAGGGGATTTTTAAATTAAAAAACATAAAGTTATTTTGAAAAAAATTATCAAATTTAATAATTCAGGAGAAACATTGGCAGGAAGAACAGACCAGATATAACACGCAGGAAGACCTGGTGTATTAAACATCTCTAAACACAAAAAATTTACAAGGATTTGGCCATTACGAGGTAAGCCAAAGGCAAGCTGGAGTGCAACTCCAGAAACTCTAAAATGCTATTAATAAGAACAAATGAGGAAGACGCAATAATTAAATAATAGAAAAAATTTACCCTAAGTGGAAGCAAGATAGTTTCTTTAGGGCTAAAGGAGAAACGAGCTCCCGACGGAGCTGAAGAAATGAAACCTGGCATTCCCTGGTAACATTCCTGAACTTGAAGAATGAATTTGTACAAACTTTAGGAAAGGAGCACAATATTCCTTTAAAAAGGGGGGAAATTTTAATACTGACACTGTAGTTCTAAGACAAACAAAAATAAAAAGAACACACGTTTTACAATATTAATAGCGCACGAGAGAGTTTAAGATTGAAAACCCTAACAGGATAAAGAAATATCACATGAGATTAAAGGCACGATTGTCTGGTGATGACTACACCACCAATTACTTACCTCTAGTCCTATTGATGGACAGGTGTGTTGCTCCTTCAGTAGACCAAAAAGTGATGGAAGCGGATCTCAATCAATCAGAAGTTTATTTTGCCGAGGTTGAGTGCATGCCTGGGAAAAAGAAACACAAGTCGCAGTAGAACCTATGACGTGTTTTTTCCCAAAAAACGCTTGGGGAGCTTGTGTATTTTCCAGGAAAAAAGCTTAAGGGCTTGGGGATTTCAATATTTAAAGGAGAAAGAGTAAGCAGGAGAGAGAGAAAAAAAGAAAAAAAACGTAGGGTGGGTAGTCAAGAAAGCAAGTGGTTACAGCTTGTGAAGGTCTGATTAGCATTCAGAGAATCTACATTTTGCGTGTGAAAAGAAGGGAATAGAAGAAAAAGTTAAGCACTCATCTGGTGCTCAGTAAATCTACATTTTACACGAAGTAAGCATGTGAAATTATAGCTATCACTTTGTGAATGAAAGGAAGGACATTTTCGCATGACTCAGTCCCGGAGCTTACTTTCTCTACGGTGTAGTGAGTTTGGGGTCCTGAGATTTTATTTTTCTTTCACTTTCTTTGGGGCAATTATGAACATCCTTGTATATGTCTCCTGGGGCATATGAGCAAGGGTGTCTCCAGGGTGTATACCTAGGGCTGGGATTGCTGGGTTGCAGGCTATGGTCATGGTCAGTATTACAAGATAATGCCAAAAAGTTTTACAAAGTAATATGAAAGAATTCCATTATATTCGATTCTTACATAAAGTTATGTAAATTATGTGCATACATAATAGAGTGTGAGATTTCAGGGAAATTCTACTTTCTTTTGTATAATTTGATGTTCTAAATTGTCTTAAAAAGCAAGCATTATGCAATCTGAAAAAAGTTCAGTAAAGATAGGTTCATTGAAAGAAAAAATGTGACTCTTCAAAAATCAGTACTTACTATAACTTATATGCTAAATAAGAAAAGCAAGCTCAACATCTCATTAAACAAAATAAAACTGAGCCGTCTACTGGAGTCCATTATCTGAGAAATGTTACAGATAAACAGAAGCTACCAAAATAGATAAGAAATAATAATCCTTGAATCTTTATTACAGATAATTTAATTTTCCTGACAAAACTTCTTTCCAATTAAACTGTGGCTACTTTTTGAAAAGGACATGCTGTTGAATGAGAAAAAAAAAATGTCCACATGGCTTAGTTTGACCCTGAGAAGCAAGAAGTTACATAAAACATAATATGTCCTTGTTAACTTTATGAGCAATGTAATAGTCAGGATTCATTAAACATATCCAATTTCCTTTCACTATTTTATAGTATACCAATGTTTTCAGTTTCCTGGTCAAAGTGTCTTCCCTTTTTAGAAGTACTTGAACTGTATTTTTCCAGTCAGTTTAAAATATGTTTGTAAAAATATTTTTTGTTGTAAAATCAAGGTACATATTTAGCCAAAACTGATAACATGTTTTGTTAAATCTCCCTTTGTGTTTTTTTCTGTCCCATCATTAAGAAGCTCTTTTATTTTCAGAATAAATGTTTACTATGTATTGGTTTAATTCTTATTGTCTTAGATGGAAAACTCATCAAGATTTCAATAGAGAGGATTAGAAGAGCACTTCAGAGCAACAGAGTTCTGTCATCAGAAATTGCACCAGTTCTGTTGACAGTGAGGAATTCGAGGGTGAGCGGATCTTGAGGTCAGGAGTTCGAGACCAGCCTGGCCAGCACAGTGAAGCCCTGTCTCTACTAAAAGTACAAATAATTAGCTGGGTGTGGTGGTGTGCATCTGTTATCCCAACTACTCAGGAGGCTAAGGCAGGGGAATTGTGTCAACCTGAGAGCAGAGGTTGCAGTGAGCCAAGATCATGCCATTGCACTCCAGCCTGGGAACAGTGCAAGACTCTGCCTCAAAAAAAAAAAAAAAAAAAAAGAAGTGCTGATGTAGCAGTGAAGAAATAAAGTGCAAAAGAAGGTATCACTGAATTATGAACTGCAGGAAACAAGGACCATCCCATGGGCTGAGAGAACATAGGCAAAGTGTTGGTCTGATTAAAATGAGAACTGTAAAGGAGGGACCCTATGGAGCTGAAACTCAGACCTCTATAAAGGGGTGCTGGCAATTCATTTTGGAGAAGCGTCTCCATGGGGCTGGGACCCCAACCTCTGAGGAGGACCATTAGTAGTGAATGTTGGTGTTTCTGATCTCAGAGGAGAATTCTCATGGAATGAGAAGTTGGGTACATATGAAAGTTAATTCTAAAATGTAATACTGGGTCAGAAATAGACTACTCACTGTAAACGAGAGGACAATAATAAATATATAGCTATTAATTAAATATATTTCACACATCCTCACATAATTAAGTGGGTCTCTTTTGTTGTATGTTAATTAAGTGATGTTGAGTGGCTTATCCATGTTACACAGGAAGTCACATGCTCCAAGCAGATGTAGAATTTCCTCTGTGTCTTATTTAGTAATCATATGATCCATTTCAGCATCATCTGATTTTAGACACTTGAAGAATTATAGTTTATTCACTTCCCTGTGTGTATGATCACCATGACAAAGAAACTTAAAGCAAGTGTAGGAAAATATGATTCTTTGAGGACAAGAAACAAAGATACAATTCAGTGACTCAATGATTGAATTTGATACCCTGTTACAAGTGGCAAATTCACTATCACTTAATTGCTATTTAAAAGAAATAGCATATTATTAGAATGATGATTAGCTTATGAAAAATGGAGAGACGACAGCCAGCTGAATATATGCATTCATTTTGACAAACATTTATTGAGTTCTTGCTGTTTTTCAGTCTCTGTACTAGATGGGTCAACAAAAAATTCGTTCTGCAAGTTGGAAGGTCAGCCAAGTTCTGGGCTTAGCCTTTATTTACAAGACAATAAACAAAGGTATATATGTTGCTGTTTGGCACTTGCCTTCTATATTACTCTAAATTTATATATAATGCATAAATATAGTATATATAATTTATATACATAAACCTATATTAGTTTTTATTATTATTAAATATTAATATTTTTTGAAACAGGATCTCACTCTGTCACCCAGGTTGGAGTTCAGTGGTGTGATCATGGCTCACTGCAGCCTCGATCTCCTGGGCTCAGGCGATCCTCCTATCTCAGCCCCCCAAGTAGCTGGGACCACAGGTGTGCACCATCAGGCCCCAGCTAATTTTTAAATTTTTCTATAGAGACGGTCTTGTTCTGTTGCTAAGGATGGTCTCAAACTTCTGAGCTCAAGCGATCCTCCTGCCTTGCCTTCCCAAAGTGCTGGTATTACAGGCGTGAGCCAATGCACCCAGAAATATCATTTTAAATATAGCTAGTATGCTATGTGAAGTAATAAAAAAATTACAAAAAAAAGAAATAGAAAAGATTTATGTCCTCTAGGAATTCATAGTAACTTGCAGTTATCTGAGTCATAATTATATTTGTATAATAAAGAATACTTTAAATAAATCGATGCATGAAGGGAGTACTAAAAAGATCCCACAGCATGCAGGATTTAACTGCGTAGTTATAACCTCTATCGCCATCTAGTGGCAACAATCTTAAAATCAGCTAGAACCAATCAGCAGGAAGGGATTCAGAACGCACCTGTCTGGGAGGAGTCAACCTTATCTCAAGAATCAAATGCCATCGAATGTGATTCTCTCTCTTTGTTCTTAGTCACTATGCAGTAGAATGAGTGACGTGGGTAGTTAATATATTAATCACAAGCTTTCTTATTTAGACTTTAAAAGAAGGTGTGAAAGCGAATATAAAACACGTCTATGCATTATTTCACTTGGTGAGAAACCTAAGTTATCTTCACTTTACGAACAATTTTCATTTTTCTCTTAGCACTTCAAAGGTATTTGTTGCTTCAGAAACAATGTTTATAACATCTTCTTTTAGATAAAAATATGAAAATTATCTATGATTGATTTTATTTAAACAATTTGAAGATGACAATTGAAGATGACATATTTCTGAGCTTTGTTTTCCTGCTTTTGCTGGCAATCAGAATAATGATAATCAGATTTAGTAAAAATAACCTGAAAAAATATAATAAGGACCAACTTTCACTTTTAAGATTATTTGGCATAATATCAAAAAGGCACACCAGTTAAACTTTGAAAGACATATGAGCCTTAACTCATTTTTGCAGCACAGGCCATGTAGCTGAGTAAGTTTCTATAATATCATTTTCTAATTTATCTTAAATTTATAAGCATGTGTATTGATCATTATAATTAAAATTATTGTTTTTTTGGTTTGACTAAATGACTCAAAATTGTTTTTAAATAAATATGCTGAGTATAAAACAGGAAGTATATGGGATATAAAATTATTTTTGCCTTGGCCTTAATGTTCGTTCATCACAGACGCATCATGTAGATTAAATAAAACAAGCTGCACATCTGCCCAGAGGAAAAGATGCAGAAATGTTCGGTTTGGATTTACAGGGGGAAGAGTTAAAATAAGCATACATCTCAACTCTTGGGACACGATCATTATTTTATACAAAGCCCCTCTGTTTTGTTACACTCTCCTCTCCTGCACTGTTTCACTCTCAATTTCATTCAGTTTCTTACTTAGTTTCACCTAAACTTTACTTAGGTTCTTCCCCTTACTGTTTCTATTTCTAGTTATTTGGGACTAGTGACTACATAGTATTCCTACTTTTTTGTTTCCATTTTTTCTAGTGATAGAACACCAGGTTGCCTCCTCTTGTTGGTACCACAGGTAATGTTTACATAAGCACCTTTGTATATGACCCTCCTGCAGGAATTTCCCTGGTTTATATTCTGAGGGTACTTTACAGGGATTTTACAGAATAATTTCTTAAAGTAATGATTTCTTTTCAGTATGTTGCACTGTCCAGACTTCTACCTGGAGTGCAGGAGGGCTTCCCATTTCCACACGGCCTTGCCAATACTTGATATATATGCCTGTGGGGGATTTTCTTTGCCAAATTCCTTATTGTTGCATCTCAATATTCTGATTTTCACCGTGGTAAAGTCTATATTTACATAGTTGTTAGCCATTTTTGTTCCTACTGTGAATGGCTTATTCATATAGTTTTCCCATTTTTCTTTTGGGTACCTACACTTTTCTCTATATCTTTTGATAAGATTTAGTATCTTAACATTTTTGAAAGAACATTTAGCTTCTCCCAAAAATTCTCTATGATGCCCTACACCAAACAGAACTCTCCATTTTGTTGGAGGCTAATTTTATTTGTGCCTTTTTAATTTTTTTAGTATTTCTTAAGAAATCATCGCCTACTCACACTCAGTTTTTCACATAGTGTGAGCAAGAAATCCAACTTTGTTTATCCAGTTTTAGTAACATTACATCTTCTAGTACAAAAGCCCTCATTTCCCCACTGATT